GAATGTTACTTCTGTACCAAATAAGGCCTCTAAAATATGTTGAAGTATCTTCCAGTTTGCACAACTTAGCCTACATAGGATGCCACTCAAAACTGTATTGAAAAACCTGTGTTCTTATGTTTTAAATCATGACGATGCAGTAAATTAAACTTTAAGGAATTCAAATGGAGGTTCTGAAGAATGAATTGAGAATCGTGCTACCTTCCGGATCCACACATATTTTGCCTGAACACTTATTCAGATGTTTGTTTCTTCACAATACTTTAGCTCTGTAGATTGCAATGCTTCAGCTATGCTGCAAGCTTGCAATTGTTCAACACGAGAATAAAATGGGCTTAAGCAAATAAAAGGTACAAGGAATGTATGTTCCACCAAATCCAACATTTGCAGGCAACAACAAATAACACAATACTCCAGAGTAAATCATAATGCAGCTGGTGTAGGGGTTATCAGCTACTCCAGTGTTGTCATGTTTCTTGCTACTTACTAGGCCTGGGAGTTTTTTCAGTTTCTACTGTTCGGTTATTTTGTATATTCGGTTAGCAAATCTGGAAACCGAAATAAGCTTGCAAATCTACTAACCGAAACTTCGGTTAACCGAAAAATCGGTTCGGTTTACTACCGAAATTTATACACAGAACATAATGTGCAGATTTCAGTTTCAGATTTTGTCACTTTAAACAGGATTTTAGAAAGAAATCAATGGGAACAGAAACAAAAAATAGAAATAAACGCAGCACATCTGGTGGAGCGCTCATCCGATCCGTTAAGTTCTGTTGTGGTGGAGTGGTACGCGGCTGGATCTTGGAGAGAAGAAAGAGGAGCGCATATGGCGGTGGCGAGCTAGCGACGACAAGCGCATGTCGCGGCGGCCGGCAGGGAAGATTTGCGCGAGTGGCGGCAGCGGCGTAGTCCAGCCCATCAATTCAAATTCTGAAGATGACATGTAGCCTGAATCCAAGAGGAATTCAGTTGTTCGAAGACTATGTTCTTTTTTGTATATCTTGTTCACAGTTTGCATCTCTACCATGTTTACTTGGACAAGTATTATAAGTCCTTCCATATTCACTTGCAATTTCATCTTGGATTATGATTGGTTTTTTGTCTACTCCAACTTCGCATACACCCTCAGAAGATAAGTACAGGGTTTGTATTGAACTTCACCTTTAGAGATTTAGGGATTGTTGGCACTATAGAATTCAATACACATGAATTTAATGTGTTACTTTGGTTGAGGCGTGCGTTGCACGTGCACGCTTACTGGTGAGTATAAACAAACTACCTCTTATTTTCATAATTAGAAAATGCTCTTATGAAACTTTTGTTCCATGACCGGCAGTGTGATTCCCCCCTCCCCTCCCGTGAGCGACCGCGGGAGGGGAGGGACCCTAGCCGCCGTCGGCTAGTCCCCCTCATCCCCTCGCCGCCGTCCAGCGTTGGCGGCGGCGGGGCAACCTCTCTTCCCCCGCTGGGACTGGATCGGCGCGGGACGATGTGCCCGAGCGACCACGCGACGGCAAGGCCTGGCGGCTGCGTCTCGGGCTCCTGCTGGTGGCATGATAGGCCGTGGGCCGCGGTGCGGCGTGCTGTGCTGGCGGCGGCGGGAGGCCGGGGTTCGCCCCGGGTCTGGCGGCCTGCGGGTACGGGCACATTGGGGCATGTCACTAGTGACGGGTCGTGGTGCAGGTTGCGGATGCGCCCGGTGGTCACCGGCTGATGCAGCTTCCTTGGCAACGGCGTGCCTGCCTGGTCCTAGCCTCCTCCGCCCGGCTTTGGAGGCTGGTCTTCGATGGGCGGCGAGGGGTGGTGGCGGAGGGCATGTGTGGGTTGAGGCAGTGGGTGTGCTGCTTGGCGGCGGTGCAGACTTGTAGGGGCCCCGGCGGCACGGATCTGGCGGCCGGGTTCGATAGGCAGTGCGGGGTGGTGGCGACGACACTCCCTCTCCTTGATCAAGGTCGGTGGGGTCTTCGACCTAGGGTTCTCGCTCGGGCGGACTAGATCTATGCCCGAGGCGGATCTAGTAGGGGTTGTTGGGCTTGGTCCGGAAAGGTTCCACGGGCGGCGAGGTTTCCCTCCTCATAGGCACGGTGCGAGGTGGCGGTGGCCGTAAGATCGATGCATCGTCGGATGGATCGACGCCAATGGTCACAGACATGGCATCGTGGAGGCTTGCCAGGGCTGGGGCTGGCCTTGTGGCGCTCGTCAGCAGTCACTGGATCGTGTCCTCCCCCGTCCATCTGAACTGAGTGAGGACATAGGCATGGGCGCTTCTTACGGTTGAGGCGCTAATCCAGATTCGGTGGCTAATGCCGGGCTAGGCATGGGTGCCTCTACTTTTCCTGTCATGGTCTCCTTCCTAGCCTGAATGTTCTCATTCGGTTTGATCGATGCATCCCAGCGAACTAGTCATTCGGTCTGGGGAGATCCCAAACTGAATGTTCAGGAGACTAGTATGATGTCCATGCTTTGCCACGGAGCCGTTGCCTTAGGAGGTGGTCAAATAACGTTAGTGTCCTTGTGTCCGTTGCACAATTTACAACTATTGAAGATAGCAAAAATAGGTGAGCGGCAATGCAATGTCAGAGAATTTTAAATGACCATACTAGGTTGGGAAGAGAAACTAAAACCAAGATTGATTTTGAGTTGAAGTCACAGTTTTGTATTTGTTATTAAATTGTGACTTCTACAAAAAAAAGTTGGCCTCACATGAAAGCAGTGTATTTATTTATTTATGATAGATTCTACATGTAAGTAAAGTATATTTGTTTATATCTCTTTTGAAAGATTGCTAGTTTCACATGTGGTGATGCTCGTATTTGTTTATTTAAAAAGGATGTTGTACCCACATGTGAAGTCACCACCAACTCCAATCTTTATAAGTAGAAAAGATATCGACGTCTAAAAAGTTAGATGAGTCTACGGCTGGGCCGCTGTTTTTGTCTGACTTGAACGGACACGCATGACGCACAGACAAAACGGGTTGTGCGTTGGAGCTGGCGTTGGCTGAGAAGAAGGATCAAGAGAAGCAAGAGAAGTGGCAACTACTCAAGTAAAAGTCCGACCACAAGGCCGTCACTGAGGAGAGAAGAGCCAAAGCCGTAGAAAACAAAGCCGTGGCCAAACTCCTTCAAGAGAGGAACAAAATCATGATAATGAACCAAAATGAGATGAACGATGTCACGAAATAATAGCAGTTTTGTTCGGGAGAGTAAGCGGAGGGGGGAAGGAGAATTTCAGTTTGCCGCCCCTCTCCTACCGACGGCGCATGCGTGGCGCGGCGGCTACATCCACGCGTCCTACTGACGGCCGCCTCTCTTCCTCACCGGGAACCCGACTGACAATTTCCCTCCGGGTGGTCACCTCAAGTCCTGAACATGTCGGGGGCTGTGGAGCAGCTTTGTTCTGCAGAGCAAAAGGACTGGCGATGTCAATACATAGAGGACCACCTGCTGGAGTAAGTTCTTCGCCCTCCATCTGCTAAATTCGAGTTTGGAGGATGCTACAAGGTATTACTATGATATTTTGTGCTGCTTTATCTTCTTTTCTATCCCTTTTTGCTGCCATGTGTCGTTTCAAGTTGAAAACTCTACTACTCCTTTCGTTCATTTTTATAAGTCGTTTCAAACAACTGAAATTGACCTGTTTTACATATTATCTGAAATGTCTACAAGGTCTTATAAAAATGAGGAAGTAGTAGAGAGTTTCAACAACATTGTACAAAAATGAATTTGGCCGAAGACTGGCCGGCCGGCCGGCGTGCATAATAATTGAGTAGTGACTTTTACAGTACCGTGTGATTGCAGGCAAGCAATTAGACTAGTCCAGCGGCCGGTTTCTGGCGACAAAATTCCATGAACAAGACCTGATTGAATGATTGAACGAGCTCGTGCTTTGACTGTGGACTCCCTGGGGCTTGTAGAATGTGGCCAAAGATCTCTGCTAGTGTGGCTCTGCTACATAGCTAAATACTAGTCACACTCAGATCATATAAGAGTGTTTAGATTACTAGTTTAGTGATCCAAACACTCTTATATTAGTTTACAAAGGGAGTACTTCATACGATGCTTCCCCAGCTACCCAGCGCTTGTACTTCCAGCATGTTTCACATAACCATTCTCTTGTTCACCACCCTCATCTTCATAGCCATCACTTCCTTTTCACAAACGGTGTATGCACTGGCGCTACAACCCCAGAATGCCTACGGCGGCGGCTGCATACCAGCCGAGAGGGCCGCCTTGCTCTCCTTCCACATGGGCATCACACGCGATAGCGCTGGTGTCCTCGCCTCGTGGCAAGGACAGGATTGCTGCCGGTGGAGGGGCGTCAGCTGCAGCAACCAAACAGGCCATGTCATCAAGCTTCACCTTCCCAATAAAAGTCCGGACCCTGGCATCGTTTATTATCCGTGTGACAAAGGTAATTCATTGGTCGGAGAGATAAGTCCCTCTCTGCTTTCCTTGAAGCATTTAGAACACATGGATCTTAGCATGAACTGTTTGCTAGGGCCAAATAGCCATATTCCTCACTTATTGGGCTCCATGGAGAACTTGAGATATCTAAACCTCTCTGGCATTCCATTTACCGGTAGAGTTCCTTCTCAGCTTGGTAACCTGTCCAAATTGCAGCATCTTGACCTTGGCGAGGGTTATTCTGGGATGTACTCAACGGACATTACCTGGCTAACAAAGCTACCTTTGCTGCAATACCTTAGCATGAACACAATAAATCTCTCAAGGATAGCTGACTGGCCTCATACGTTGAATATGGTTCCATCACTAAGGGTCATTAACCTTGCTGAATGTTCACTTCATACTGCAAGCCAATCACTTCCCTACCTTAACCTCACGAAACTTGAGAAGCTTGATCTATCTTATAATAATTTGGACCACTCAATTGCATCAAGTTGGTTTTGGAATGTGACGAGCCTCAAATAGCTCAGCCTTCGTTGGAATTCCGATGCAAATTGGTTATCTGGCAAACTTCCCGACGCACTAGGAAACATGACATCACTCAGAGTCCTTGATGTGTCAGTTACCAATCTGAATGAGACTGCGAACCTTAAAAGTCTTCTTAAAAATCTTTGTTGTTTGGAAATCCTCGACCTTTCTGGAAATGTCTTGAATGGAGATATAGTGGCCTTGATGGAGGGGCTGCCACGATGCGCATGGAAAAAACTACTAGAGCTAGATTTCAGTGTTAACAAAATCATTGGGACCCTGCCAAATTTTATGAGGGAATTCAGAAGCTTGAGCATGCTTGACCTGTCCGACAACAACCTTGTTGGACCTATACCACCAGTGGTTTGGAATTTGACGCATTTAACCTTACTTAAACTTGGCTGGAATCAGCTCAACGGGAATGTACCAACTGAAATTGGTGCCCTTAGTGCTCTGACTGTTTTAGAGATAAGTGCCAACAACTTGACCGGAGGTATTCCGTCCGAGCTTGGAAAATTGAAGCATTTGGCGACCCTTAGGCTCGGAGGCAACAAAATTACTGGACCTATTCCACTAGAGGTTATGCATTCAACTAGCTTAACCATGCTAGACCTTTCCAGTAATCACCTCAATGGAAGTGTGCCCACTGAATTAGGTTCCCTGAAGAAGTTGGTATATCTGTACCTAGGCGGCAACGACCTTAGTGGTGTGATCACGGAAGAACACTTTGCAAACTTAACAAGTTTATTGAACATAGACTTGTCTTCCAATAATTTGAAGATTGTAGTGAACTCAGATTGGCGTTCTCCCTTTAGGCTACAGTTCGCAGATTTTGCATCTTGCGAAATAGGTCCTCTCTTTCCAGCTTGGCTTCAACAGCTGCGGGGAATCACTCATCTTGACATTTCGGGCACAGCTTTAGAGGATAAGTTTCCTGATTGGTTTTGGTATACATTTTCACAGACAAGATATCTCGACATCTCTAACAACCAGATGAGTGGCAGTTTACCAGCACATCTGGATGACATGGCTTTGGAAGAACTCCACCTAAGTTCAAACCGACTCACCGGGTCAATACCTTCGTTGCTGACAAATATCACAAGGTTAGACATCTCCAACAACAAATTTTCAGGAGTAATACCATCAAATTTTGAAGCCTCCAAGCTTGAAATGTTGCTTATCTATTCAAATCGAATTGGTGGGTACATTCCAGATTCTATTTGCAAATTGCAACAATTATCGTATCTGGACTTGTCGAACAATTTTTTTGAGGGTGAAATTCCTCAATGTTTTGACATCCAACAAATGAAATATCTTTTGCTCAGTAACAACAGTTTATCAGGAAGATTCCCAGCATTTTTGCAGAACAACACATATTTGGAGTTCTTGGATCTTGCATGGAACAAGTTATCTGGAAGATTGCCTACATGGATAGGAGATCTGGGGAAACTGCATTTTGTATTATTGAGCCACAATGCATTTTCGGATAATATTCCGGTGGACATAACAAGGCTTATGGTTCTTCAGTACTTGGATTTGTCAGGCAACAATTTCTCTGGTTCAATACCTTGGCATCTATCAAACCTAACACTTATGAAAAAGGTACATAAGCAGCAGTTCATGTATATTGATGATGGATATACTGGATCAGAAATGGACGGCATGATCCAGATGAGTGCTGGTCGGTTGAAAGAAATATTCTTAGTAGTTACAAAAGGACAGCAGCTTGTGTATGGTAGAGCATTTGCATATTTTGTGAGTATTGATTTATCAGGTAACTCCTTGACTGGTGAAATCCCTACAGGCATCACTTCCCTTGCTGCACTAATGAATCTGAATTTATCGTCGAACAAATTGAGTGGACAAATTCCAAACATGATTGGGTCCATGCAATCATTGGTATCTCTCGACCTCTCTCGGAACAAGCTCTCTGGTGAAATTCCGTCGAGCTTGTCAAGCCTGGCATCGTTGGCTGCCTTGAACCTGTCCTACAACAATTTATCTGGAAGGATACCCTCTGGCCGCCAACTTGACACCCTCAATCCGTACAACCCGTCTATTATGTACATAGGAAACACTGGACTTTGTGGGCATCCCCTCCAAAATAATTGTCCAGGAAATGATTCTTTCTTCGTCTATGGTGATCTTGAAAGCAGTAAGCAACAGTTTGATCCACTGACCTTTCATTTTGGTCTTGTGCTGGGACTTGTGGTGGGGCTCTGGGTGGTATTTTGTGCCTTGTTGTTCAAGAGGACATGTAGAACTGCTTCTTTTCGGCTCTTCGACAAGGTGTATGATCAAGTCTATGTATTTGTGGTTGTGAAGTGGGGAAGCTTCACAAAGAACACAGCCGCAGAATAAGCACTTTTTTCCTCTGAATGGGAGCTCTGGACTATTAATTAACCATGGTGACTTGGTGAGGAAGATGCTCAGCAACATATGTTTATCGTGTGCCTTGTTTATTCCTCTAAATAAAGATGGAGATGTTAGTTCTTCTGATACATTTATGACATCATTATTGTATAATTGTTGTGGTACATGCAAGACTTATGTGTTGTTCAAGTATCCTGATACATGTAAGACTTTACTATTTTTCTCGACTGTAATCATGAACATCGTTTGCTGAATATTTTGAACTCGTTTCTCCGATCGGGATGAGTTAATATTTGTTGTTGTTGTTGCAATGGGTTCTTCATATGGAGTAAATTAACCATGGAAATTCTTGCAAAACATCAGTTTATAATGCACATGTACTCTGCTATGTACTCCCTTTGTCAAGAGTACAATGCACATGATGATGTTTAGAATTGCATTTGGTCCTGACGTGCTGCTTCTTAATCGGTTGTGTGGAGCATTTGTTCTTAAGTTTTCTGCTTGTACATGGTATTGGATGAACTTTTCCTCTTACCAATTGCAGAAACCAATTTATGCGTCTATTGGTTTCAGCGATTGGGTTTTCTCTGGCAATCAAGTGCTTGTACAGTTCTTTGGAATTTTTGCTGCACTATAAAGCATATGGGTAAACGGAGTGTAACTGGTATTCTTAAGTAGTTTAGATCTGTTACGATTGCTTAGTACTAAGTACTTCATAGAGAACTAACATTAATTCCTCACCTGCGGTGGGATGGTAATGTACAGGTTACAAATTCACAATCATGAAACAGTTTGTACGGTCAGAGACAGTCAGAGTAGAGTACATTATGTGTAGATGCTAGTTTGTCATCTCATTTTTCTCCTCAGATTACGAGCTTCTCAGCATCAGGACCGTACGTGGTGGTGATGAAGATTCAGATCAAACAATTCATGTTTCAGTTCCTGGGCTTGCAAAGTTCAATCCCACATCTCATGATGAGTACCACCAGGGAATGCATCCCCTTTGGCATCCATGCCGCATGGGTGTGAAATTTGGAAGGTCGTGTTCGTTTTCCTACTGCAGATTTGCAAGTGTTGGTTGCTACTTCAATGCAAGATTTTTGCTTGCTTAGCAGTGCAGTACAGGCTCTGGATTTGAGATAGAAAGGCCGCAAGATTAAACTTTGCATGCTACGCCTCACAGACAGAGCAGTGACAGGGCGGCCTGGGGTTCACCTTGATTTGATTCGTGCCCATGCTGACACAAGGGGCCAAGCCAACAACGACCCAACAATTCAAGCCAAAGGTGCAAATCTCCCATGGGCCACGGCGCACTAAATCCGAGCAGCATAGAGAGTGAACTGAACTGATACAGAGCAACATTCATCAGTTAGCAACAAACAAGCTCGACAAAGGGTGGATTTTATTGTCTCGTAATGAAGCATTAAGAGGATACAAACACAATGAGTACACATCCTTCGGGCCTGCGGTCATGGGTGCAGGCCATGGCGTTTGCTTCTGGCGGCTGGGGAATCTTGGGAGAGACGGAGATTTGTGAGAGCGAAGGACGTGGGGTTGATTTTGGGCTAGCTAGCACGCCGAGATTGGTGGGCGGGGTCAGCCGGCGAGGGCGTCTATGCGTTTGGCAGAGTTTTCGTCTGCCAGTTGAAATTGTTATAAGAGAGGGCTATTGTTATCTTGACGGTTAGATCTTAAAGAGTAGACTAAATCTCGTGGCTAATTGATTCAGGTTATTGTGTGTACGCGTTAGACGGAGTGCACTTTAAAAAGATAATGTTTGCTTGTTTAATAGTAAGTAGCAAAAGGGCCCGTGCGTTGCAACAGGTTGAAAACAGGAAATGCAAACACCTGTACCAGCTAAAGCTACTATAGACATCTATTTTTCCACTTGCCTAATGTAACCTATTTTTCCACTATAAAATGTAAGCATGCCCCTTTTCGTCGCAATGGGAGGTAAAACAATAGCACAAATTCCTATCACAACACATTAGTTGCCATTAACCATGTTGGTTAGATCGAAGTGGAACACCGATCGTGTTTGATGAGTTCAGGAACGTTGCAGAAAGATCCTCCATCCTCTAGGTAAAAAATAATAGAAAAAAAATGAGATCATGAGCATTGTAAAAAGATCATCCATCCTCTAGCCAAAATAATAGGAAAAATGAGGATTTCATGACATACCAGAATCTTACTCCTCGTGGGATGGGGTCGGAGAGGGGGAAGCGGATGAAAATTAACATAATTTAGCCCAATGGCAAAATGACACATGAAATGCATATTTTCTGATTAGCAATTCCAGTTCAAGCGTAGGTGAATGAAGTAGTTTTCTGCTTGCAGATATTGCCGTCAATATCCCCACAACTCGCCCTTACGCCGAATTTTAACAAAGGTCCAAGTACGAAGTCTGCCAATGGAGAAAAGGACAGTTTCCACAAACAAAACAATAATACATCTAAATGAATCAAACAGATATAGTTGTGATATGTATTTGGTGGTCGGTGTGTAGTTTACCACTTTTAAAAATATAATTTTCAAATTTTCAAAATGTGGCCACGGAGGCTCAAGCTATCATCTCAACATTCCCTTGCCAGAAAAATCAATTACTGATAATAGATCTTAGGCATAGAAATCTAAAAAAAAGTAACTATAACAAATAACACAAAACAAACAATGTTTTGCAGTCAGCATGGAAACTGTAATAAGTATTGTCAACCTCACGCTCAATAGAAAGCAGGAGTCAGCATATTTAATCATATGAAGAAAGTAGGTAGCAATTCACCTAGTAATACATTAATAATTCTGAACTTTTGACAAAAACAAATAGTACTGAAGAACTGCCCTAGGTACTTGACAGTGACACACCCTCTCGGATGTCGAGACCATCGAGTTGTACATGCTGATCCAACTAAAAATGCTTCAGTATGTAACACACAACAATGCAAAGAAGATTGCTAGATGATAATTTTGCGCACAAAGGACACTGACCATTTGCTCTACCACTGGCTGTAAGTTAACCTAATGGTCTGTAGCACACCATAATGCAAAAGAAATTGCTAGATATCTATGCTTTTGACCACCACAACCAGAAGGAAATCTTAATTAATGTATCTTGATATAAGACTGTATATCAGAGGAAGATGATCATGACAACAATCCTAAATAAATCAACAGAGATTACCTAAAGAAGGAGCAGTCCCTGAGCCTCCGGCCGGGCAGGAACACCACCGCGGCCCTAGACCGTCGCTCCCGCCGCTCCCCGCTCCCGCACCACGGCGACTCCACTCCCTCCCCGCGCCATCGCCCCTGCTGCGGGTCTAGCTGCGCTGCTCCTTGGAGATGCCTCCAAGACGACGGAGTCAAGGCCCTGCGAGCTCGACCGCTGTTCCACCCCCGCCCCCCTCTCCTGCTCGATTCCAGGAGGACTGCGCCCAGATGGTGAGATTGATCTCACCTCTCCCGCACGCGGCACTCATGACGACGGGAATCCCGGGGTGGGTGGATCGGGCGAAGCGGATTCACGCTGCTACAGCGGCGTGGATCTGCCGGATCCAGGAGCTCAAAGCAGCAGATCAGGCGGTGGTGGCGGCGCGAGATCCGGAATCAGAGGCGGCAGCGACAAGGGTTGCGGATGCCTGCCGCCTGAGAGCAGAAGCAGAATAGAGGAATTTGGCACGGCGCATCTACGACGAAGCAACAACAGCGGAGAGGGCGCGGATGCCCCCCTTCCCGCACTCCACGTCGACAGCATATGTGCAGTGGGCAAGGGCGGAGGCGAAATCCGGCGATCCCCGCAGGGCGATGAGATGGGAAGGCATGCTGGGGGTGGTGCCCTCGGGTGCGCCGCTCCAAGGCATCTCATCCTGGCCACTGGCGTCAATTCGAGAGTGATTGCTCAGGCTGGATTGATTGCAGGTGGATCAGATTATCGCCTACCGCGCTCGGAGAAGGAGAAGATCTCTTGGTCATCAACGGCGGCGAACTCTAGTAATTACTGCACCTGTGATGATACTCCGAGCTGCTGCACTACTGTTCTTATTCCCAGTCGTCGGCGTTCTACGTCGCCACCGCTGTTTGTTGTTCCTCCTCCGATGAGGATTGGTGTTCGTAGGAATAGGAACAAATCCAGCCTGCCCCAATCTGGTGTTGGTGGCCGTCCGATGTGTTCTATTTCATTCTCCCCCGATGCCACGAGTGATTCTGACTGCCATGTGACCCATAGACGCCGGATATCCCCATCTCTGCCGCCGTTCGTGGTTCCGCGCGTTGACGGACAAAAAATGGGGATCAACGAGCAGGGCCCGGCTGTCTGCCTTAGAAGATGGACTGGCCGTCCGATTCCTCCTAAAGGGATCGGGACCGTAGTTTC